CGGGGTCTGCCTGGGTGCGTGTCCGGTGGGCATGGAGGGGGCTGCCACCCCTCTGGGTATAAAGGACTTTGCCCTCTCTTGCCCCGAGGGCAGGGAGGGGTGCCGTCCAGGCTGCACTCCCGAGTCATTGCGGTTCCCCGTGGGATGCACAGCATCCCCACTGGGTGATGGGATCCATGCTGCACCCCCAATGGGCAGGCAGTGGGATTCCCCTGTGCACCAGGCCTACATCCCAGCAAGGACTATCCAGGGCCTGTGCCTGGTCCCAAAAGGCTTGATGTTGGGGTTCCCTCTGAAGTGTCAGGATGTGGGCTGAATCCTGAGCTGGGACTTGCCATCTGTGCGGTGATTTCTTCCCCTTGTGCTCAGGCTGGGTTCCCTGGGTTGGATCGACCCCCGTCTCCATGTTTCAATGTCCCCAGCTAGGGCAGTGTGAGAGGCATCCAGGCAGAGCTGAGGAGCAATGACAACCGTGTCACTGTCCCCACAGACAGGAGAGCCCTTTGGGGTGCAAAATGGAAGGCATTTCTATTGGGGACATTGTGCTGCCAGACCCCGGAGGTGGAAGGTGCTCATCCTGATCTCTTGCCTAGGGCCGGCAGGGGCTCAGGGGTCTGCTCTCTGCATGGACATAGGGACGCTGCCACCACAGTATTCTGGCTCTTTTCCCTAACCTAGGCCCACAAGGCCTCCTTGTTTTGGCTGTGGAGGAGTGGTTTCACCTCTCCGCATAGGGCTGCGGGGGCAGACCTGAGCCCGGAGAGGTGTTGACAGTTGCGGTGATAAATGCAGTCAGACGGGCTGGAGCTGGGTGTAGTTGGAGCTGCACCATGGGGGTGAGCACTGTGGGAATGGTGCTTGCCTGAGCTGTGCCATGGCTGTGTGGCTGCCTGTGCCTGCAGTTAGTTGGCTGATAGAAGCCCTGTGGTCGTCACTGGGGAGAGCTCAGGGCCTGGAATCTGCCTCCTTGAAAGACTCTTCTCTCCCAGCAGCAGAGTCCCCCACACAGGGCTGGCCTTGTGGCCCTGGTGTGCAGCTCTCGGTGTTCTCTGGGGCTGGGGGGAGATGGGACTGTGCCCCAGCTGTGGGTGTCAGTGGTGCCTCATTCTCAGCCCTAATCTTGCAGCTCATCCCAGGGGTACCCCCCCCAGCTGGGGTCCTCTTGAGAACCTTGGCGTGCATGCCTGCCCTCCTCTCCTGGTGGAGCACACTGCGGGACTTCTGTGGGTTCTGTCCCTGGCAGGGCTGCCTTCCTGTTGCAGTCCTGCACTGCTGGGTACTCAGCCAACAGCTTCTGGGTCATTTGTGTCCATTGGTAGACTCTGCCTGGCTGCTTGTGGGTTGGGGCTGGTCAGGTTGTCTCTGTACAGTCAGAGCACCTGCCCGTGGGCGGGTCAGGTGGTCTCTGTACAGTCAGAGCCCCTGCCTGTGTCCAGCCTCATGCCGGAACAGTTTTCCTAATCTTCAGATAAGATAAAACACCAGTGAAAACACCATAAAAACATAAATGCCCAGAGAGGCTTGTTGGGGATAGAGAGAGGTGCTGGATGAATCCCACTCAGGACAGAAGACAGCAGGGCCTGGCCCACTTATGCGGAGCTGTTGTGGATGGGTGTGCTGGGCTGGAAACAGCACAGCCACATCCCCCAGGAACTGACTTTCTTCTTTTTCCATGAACCCTAGCCCCTCTGGGATCACCTGTAGCTCCCATAATCGTGTTTCTCCTTCTCTCCTCCTTTTTCTCTAGCTGGTTTCCAGAATGGAGGGGCCACTGTCAATGGAGATGTCTTTCAGGTGAGAGCTCAGCCCCTTGTCCCAGCCCAGTGGTACTAAGGGGGATTGGGTGGGTATGGGGCCAGCACTCCACTGCTCTGCCCCCAGGATTGACTGGAGTTTGCTATCCCGCCCCAGAACAGCTATGGTGCTCCTGGAAAGGTCTGGGTCTCCAGAGGAAGTCTTGGTTGCTCCATTCTCAACTGTCTTTGAAGAGAAGATTGGTCCCGCCTGCCATGACCTGCCCCAAATCTGCTTGCAGGTGCCCTGTGCCCTGAGGGAGTGCCTGGGCTGTAAAAGCAGATGACAAATCCTCTGTTCCCCACAGAAGCCCCCTCTCTCCAGCCTGGGTAGCTCCTGGAGGCCTCCAGGGCAGTCAGGAGCGTCTCTTGGCAGAGGCCAGAGCCAGGACAGGGCTGCCACGGGACACTCACTTTGCTGTGGCCTTGCTGCTGAGTCCTGGCAGCATCTCCCATTAAACCCACTTGCCCCATGGCCAAGGGTGTTTCATGGGGCCCACCCACCTGCATCTCTGCTCCCTCTGTGAGCCCACAGCCCAGCTCTGCTGGCTACAGAAGCTGTGCCAGCATCTGACAAACTCTTCACCCCACTCAGCACCCAGCAGAGTGGCATGTGCATTGCCCGTGCCTAGTTTACAAGATGATAATCACATTAGAGATGAGGCAGACTTAATTAGATTTGGGATCTTGGAGGAGAGCTGTAATCCCATTGCTGAGCTCGATGTCGAGCTGGGTGTCCTGGCCAGCAGAAGGTGTTAGGGGAGGTGCTGAGCCAGCGTGGTGCTGAGCCAGCGTGGTGCTGGGCCTGGTGGGAGCTGTACAGGCAGCTCTGCTTGGAGGAGCAAGGGAGGCTCTTGCCTGCAGGCTGGTGTCCAGACAGAGAGCGGAGCCTCACTCGGGCCCTGCATCTCGCCTGGGCTCTCCCGTCTGTTGTGGCCAAGCCTCTAACGATGCTCAGTCCTGGGGCTGCCTTGGCCTGAGTCAGGACACGGGAAGCCTGGTGCTGGTGGGGAGCGTGTCGCAAAGCTGGTGGCTGTCCTCTGTTGTGGGCCTGCCCAGAGGATGCGAGAGCAGCGTTGGCAGTGAGCAGCAACTCAAGGATGGGTGGCTGGGCTGGGCTGTGGGAAGAGCTGGTGCCGATGGTGAGGTGCTCATGTTCTGCAGGAGTCCAATGGCCCCACGGATGCCTATGCAGCCATAGCCAAGGCTGACCGGCTGACTTTGCGTCCGCAAGTGGAGGGAGGAGCAGAAGAAGCGCCTGGAGGATCTGGGTGAGACCCGAGGCTGTGTGTGGTCATGCTTGTGGCACCTCGTGACGTGGCAGTTGGGGCCCTTGGGGTCCCTCACCTAGCGGCAACCCTTCTGCATCCCAGAGAGGTGTCTTGTGTCCCATGCTGTGTGGGTGCCCCTGCCAAAGATCTGCTGTCCTTGGGGCAGTGACGCCTTTCAGTCAGTGCTCCAGTGGGGATTGGGGACAGGCCTGGGGGGCTGCAGCTGTCCTGCCTGCCAGGGGCTGCCCAGCAGACCCAGTGGGTGCCGGTCTGACTGACGGGGTCTGTCTCGCCCTGGCCTTAGATGCGGCATCAAAGGTGACTGAGCAGCGTGAGAAGGCCAAGAAGGACCTGGAGGAGTGGAACCTACGTCAGAATGAGCAGATGGAGAAGAACCGGGCAAACAACAGGTACGTTGGGGTCAGCGTGGCTGCAAGGGCTGCAATGGGAGCTGCTGTGCAGCCAGATCTGCCTTCCTGGCATGTCTTGGGGGCCTCTGTCCCCACAGTGAGGCCCAGCCCAGCAGGGATGGAGCTTTGCCAGGCGAGGGCTTCGAGTGGTTCTGGTGGCTGTGCAGAGCTGCCCTGGCTGGGACCATGGAGGGATCACAGTGGGATCTCAGTGCCTCCTGCCCCCTGCATGGGCCTTGCATTGGGGCAGGGTTGGGGCGCTCTCTGTGCAGCCTTGCCATTGCTGGCAGGTTTTCCTGGTGCCATGTATGCTGTGATGAGTGGGTCATGCTCTGTGGGAGGACGCTAACCCCTTCTCTGTTTCTCTCTTTCTAACCCTCTGCCTGCCTGTCTGCTCTGCGCTCTCTCTCTGTCTGTGCCTCCGGGGCTAGGATCGCTGACAAAGCCTTTTACCAGCAGCCGGACGCCGATGTGATTGGCTATGTGTATGTGCCTCTTACAGACCATATCCTGCCCTGCAGGGTCTGGGGGTCCTGGCCCCAGCACTGGCTGCCCAGCCAAGGGGAGAGGGGATGCTGGGAGGTACTGGGCCCTGGTGAGGTCCCGGAAGGAGGATGCTGCAGCTGAGCATCTCCAAATGGTGGAGTCTTAGGAGGCAAGTGGAGCTCCTGGAAATGCCTCTGTGGGGGCTGGTTGAAGAGGCAAAGCCGTGGGGTCTTGTGCCTTTTGGGGGACAGCTCTGGGGGCAGAGAAATCTTGGGAGCAGGCAGACACCCCCGCGCCCCTGGATGAATGATATCTTGGGTGAGTGCAGCCAACAGCAGCCTTGAGCATCGTGTGTCTCTGGATTCCGGAGGACACTGAGCTCATCTGCTGGAGCAAGGGGACAGGAGGCAGGGATGTGAGGGGTTCCCAAAAAGGGGAGGGTTTCCTTGGAAAGAGTTCTGCTAGTGACAACCCTCAATTTCTCTGCAGGGCCTCAGAGGAAGCATTCCTGAAGGAGTCCAAGGAGGAAACCCCGGGCTCCGAGTGGGAGAAGGTGGCCCAGCTCTGTGATTTCAACCCCAAGAGCAGCAAGCAGAGCAAGGATGTCTCGCGGATGCGCTCGGTGCTCATCTCCCTCAAACAGACGCCCCTGTCCCGCTAGCTGCCACCTGGCACAGCTGGGAATGCAGCAGGGCAAGGCCAGGCTCACCAAGCCGGGTGGCTTTGTGGGGCCAGCCCATGAGGGGCCTCACCCTGCCTGCCTCTGCTCCCTGGTGTTTGCCTCGGCTGTTACTGGTTGTAACTCTCCCCATGGTTTTCCTTTGCTTAAAAGGTGCATCGGTTTCTTTTTACACTTATTTATTACTGTGGCATTTCCCCGGGAAGCGACACTGGGTGGTAAAGCTGAGTTAGGAGGGGAGCCCTGGGCTCTGCGGGAGGTTGTGCCCAGGGGCCTGGCTCAGTGAGAGGGGGAACACCCCACCTGCTGTTCCCCACCTCACCCCTGTGCTGGGAATAAATTTGCCTGTGGCTGTCCTGGTGCTGGGCAGCCGCAGGTATGGCAGCCCTGTCTCTGGCCCTGGGTCCTAGCCCCAAGACAGAGATCCTGGCAGGACCCTGGGCTCCCATCTGCCTTTCCGGTGGGGTTCAGAGCTGGCTGTGGGGCTGGGAGCATTGAGGAAGAGCCCTGAGCTCTGCACCGCGAGGTCCTGCAGGGAGCACGGCTGCCATGCAATGCTGCTGGGCTAGTGGGGCCTGAGGGATGTGAGTGCAGGCTGGACCAGGACTGCCAGTGGTTGTCCCAAGCCCAGAACTCTCCCCAGCCTGGCTGTGCACCCCAAAAAAACAGCAGGGCTCCAAGCAGCAGTTGTTGTGTCCGTGTCCTATCTGTCCTGTGGGACTGCTGGTGCCAGGCAACATGGTGGTGTGGGGCACTGGGAAGGGGCCATGGGGTGAGTGTGCAGGATGTTTTCTGTCCCTCTGGGACTGCCAGTGGTTGTCCCAAGCCCAGAACTCTCCCCAGCCTGGCTGTGCACCCCAAAAAAACAGCAGGGCTCCAAGCAGCAGTTGTTGTGTCCGTGTCCTATCTGTCCTGTGGGACTGCTGGTGCCAGGCAACATGGTGGTGTGGGGCACTGGGAAGGGGCCATGGGGTGAGTGTGCAGGATGTTTTCTGTCCCTCTGCACGGCCACCAGCAGTTGGGAATGTGGGGTGCCAGGCTTCAGGGGCCCTTGGCTCTGCTCTGCTCCTTCCCCCTGCCACTAGGATGGGAGACAGGGTGTGTGGTTGCAGGAAAGCAGGTAAGAAGGTCCAGCTGCTGTAGGGCAGGTTGAGCCCCCCCCCCCAGCTCCCTAACCCAGGGGCCTAGAGCAGGATTGGGCAGTTCTGGTGCTGGGGCTTGTGCTGTCCCTGGACAACAAGCTGCACATCTGTCTGCAGCTGCTTTGTGGCTTCTCTTTGGCCCCCGCTGGATTTGCACACCTAAGGCAGCGCAGCGAGATGCCTCAGTCCCGCTCCCCACGCTGCAAGGCACACGCTTTCAAGCCCCAACACCAGCTTTTTCTCCTCTGCTTGGTGAGGCCGGCACCAGCCCCTCCAGCTCTAAGCCCAGCCCTTGAAACCCACAAACCTCCCAGCCAGCAGGAAAGGGGCAGGCCTGAGCGCACCCTGCTGCAGGCAGCCTGGAGGTTGTGCCCTGGGTCTGGCCTGCTGAGGGCTTGGGAAGGGCTTCCAGCAGCAGGCTGGGGGGACATGGAGCAAAGCCCACAAAACATTTGGTTGAACCTCACTGCAGAGCCCTGCTCAGCTAATACAGCAAGTCTGCAGAGCTCTCCTGGCCTGCAGTTATGGCTCTGTGAGTCAGGAAGGTCACCTGCCCTGCTGCTGCAGCAGCCCTCAGGGGGCAACTGGGCAGCCCTGGCTCTGGGGCACAGGCTCAGCAGTGGGCTGGAAAGGGAAATGGGTGTGTAGGGAGTCACTTGGTGGCGTGTACTGAGCTTGTGCCCCCTTGTCCGTAGGACTGATTGCTCCTCTGTCCCCCTGCGCTCCAGCATGCGTAGGCAGCTCCACTGCGGTGTGGGATGGACACTGATGCAGGATACCTCGGGACTTGGCTGCCTGCCTCCGCCTTTCACTGCGGAGCAGCGGGAAGTGCCTCTGGCTGCTTCCCCGGGGGCAGGGAGCTCCCCGCTGTGCTTTGTCCCTCCAGTTCCCGCAGGCAGCTGGGCCCCTGGGTCCCCCAGCTGCTGTGCACCCCGTGTCAGGCAGGGGCAGCCAGCTCCCGGGGAGCCATGCCCACAGCTGTCCTACACCCCCTCAGCTTTGGTATCTGTGACTGTTCAAATTACCTGTTAAAATAAACCGACATCTCCAATCGTACGGGGCAGTCGTCTTTCTGCTTCAGCAACGCAAATGCATGTGTTTAGGAGAACCCACAGCCACGAAGCCTCCTGCGGAAAGAGGGGGCTGGAGGAGAACCAGATCCCACAGGAAAAAACAGGAACAAGGGGAAGGGCCAGAGGGTTTGTGCTAGGCCAGGGCAGCAGGACTGGGGGGCTCCGCTCTGCCCCAGGGAGCTGTGAGCTCCTGCTCATCCAGCCAGGCTGAGCCACTCCTCAGCCCACTGTGCCCATCTCCGGGCTGCCGAGGGATTGTGCTTGCAGATCTGCCCACCAGCTGCCTCTTGCACCCCTGCCCCAAGCTGGCTGGGCTGGTAGTGCCAGCAAGGCAGCCAAAAGCAGCTGCTTCTGGTAAAGGCCAGGGAAGGCCAGCAGCATCACGGCCCTGCAGCAGGAACAATCCTGGTTCCCTGGTGCAAAGGTGGAGCTCACCCTGCTCAGCACCAGTGATGGCTTGTCCCCCACCCTCCCATTTCAGAAATCAGCTCTGGTGGGGGAGAGCCTTCCTCCTCTTGTCAAGGCCCACCAGCACCATGGTTCCCCAGACAGGACAAACCAAGCGCTCATTTGCGGGCAGAGCGAGTTTACCCCTCGCCCTGTCCTCCAGAGCTGCTTGTAAGGGCAAAGTGGGACCAGCAAGCTGCCAGGCAGCCAGCTGCAACACCACTGCAAGCCGAGGGGTACGGGGCACAGGCGCCAATGTGCACACACCCAGAGCAAAGCCTGAAAACGCTCCAGGCAGCTCCACGTGAGGAGGCACTGCAGCACAGTTAGCAGGGTCGGTGTCCCTTTCCCCGGCACAGATACACTCTGCCCACAGGCAGGTACAAGCTGCCGCAGCCATGTGGCCAACAGATCTGATGACCCCATTTCCTCCCCACTCTGTGACCCTGACGCAGAAGAGCAAAGCCTTGTTGCTCACTAAACACCTCTGGTACGATCCAAATGATCCAACGCCAACAGCAGGACGTGGAGCCACCCGTGACGATGTTTGTCATGACACAGGCAGCGTGGCTCCCTCTGGGAACAGGACATTTGCTCAGCAGCCAGTTCCAGCTCATGTGAAGCAGTGAGCCGCGCAGGAATTGACTCCCCAGCAGCAGTAGCGCGTCCCAGAGAATGCAACCAGAATGGAAATGCGAGTTCCCAAGTTGTTTTCACAGGGAGTCGCATTTCTTGTGTCCTGCTTGCGTCACCACGGCTTTGAGGCGGCCGTGCCTGCTCCCTTCGCTTCCTACACTGTTTACCCTTCTGACTTCTCAATGCTCTGCAATCCAGTTTCAGTCAGAATCTTGCTGCAATTCACTTTATTACTCACCGGTTGCAACCAAACAGATTACATACTCTCCCCAAACAACTCGTGCTGCTTGTGAACTCTGTCCTGCCAGGATCAAGCCATAAACATAACTGTTCCTTCCTACCCAGGCAGCTCATTTCTCAAATGCTGGTGGACTGCCTGACTAAAGCCGCACCTCCATGCAGGCCACAACCCACCAGACACAATTTTAACGGATTGTGACAGCACCGAGCAGGGATAAGAGGTCTGACGGGGGTAGAGAGCCTTAGCGAGGTGCAGGACAATAAGCTCTCAGGGAATTAAGAAATGGCATGGCCCAAATCTCAGGTTAATCACAGAAGTGTATTAGTCATGTTTCCAGTGCTCTGGAACACAGAGCCTCTCTGACATCGGTTCCACCAAGACATCACAACTGTCTCTCAGATAACTCCATCCGCAGCCAGAATCCACCCTGCCAGCTGAGGCACGGGTTGGCGGGCGCACGCCCGCGGCCGCAGCTTCTCTCTTGCCTGATTTCACTGTCTAGATTTCATGGCCGTGACCACCATGCCTCCCAGGAGGGCCGCGAAGGTGAAGCCCTGGGCCAGGATACGTGCCCGCATCATCAGCTGAGACTGACGGATGTTGCCCCTCTTGAAGCTGATCAGTCCGTAGGTCAGGACGCCGACAGTGCAGAGGCAGCCTGCAGAGAAGGGCGGAGGGGCGGCTCAGCAGGGCAGGGCCACAGGGATCAGCTCCCCTCTCCATCCCGTCTCACCCCCACGTCCCCCCCCCGCACCTCAGCGTTGCGGGCTTGT